ACCTCTCAGATTCGGACCAGGGTTTGTACATTTGGGTTCACAGTCTGTTGAGACACTAAGTTTGCAGTTTGTTCTTCATTCACTGTCCTGAGGAATCCCTTTGCTTGCTGTGCTTCAAGTATCTGTTTAAGACCTCTCAGATTCGGACCAGAGCTTGTAAGCTCCGGTTCATAGTCTCTTTGAGACACCAAGTTTTCAGTTCGTTCATCTTTCTTGGTCTCGAGGAGTCCCTTCCCTTGAAGTGCTTCAAGTATCTGTTTAAGAGCTCTAAGATCCTTTCCAGGTTGTTTGTTTCCTCGATCTTTCAATCTCTTCTCGATCTCACTATAAATCGAAGTGGAGGAATCCGAAGTCTTGGACGGAAGTTTTACATGTTTAAGAGGTTGTTTCTGAGTCCCATCTGCATATTTCCATGGTACTGGCTTCATGATCGGATTGTAATGCTCAACACCTCCGGTTTTCACCACAGGCGAGGAAGAATACGGCATGGAGTCCAATCCCATCAGCTTGACTATGGTACCCGGAGATGGTGACGGTTTAGAAACTCTGGGTTTCCCAGACGAGCCGCCGTTTGCTTCATACGATGATGTTTGAAGTTGTCCACCTTCACTGTTAAGAGTACCAAGGTGCTTCTCCAAGTTTTCACGAACTGGAAGAGATTCCTTCAGAACGGCAGACGCATTTGGAAGGGGAAATGGCCTCGGCGAATCTCTATGCTTCACGGTACTGTCCGATACTTCTTCTAGGTACATCGAGTCCTTGACCACATCTCGAAGGTCTATGAAATCTTGTGTGGAGACTAGACATGTTGAAAGACAGAAACTGGTAGATCGAGAGTGAGGTTGAAGATCAGAGTTACACCGAGAATGTCTCTGCAACATAGTTTGGCTTCGAGAAAACGCCTGAATGTCTGCTTCATTGTCGGAATCCCATTGAATCCCATATTGGTTGGATCTTATCATCATCGTTTTCTGGAAGCCTTTGTGATATTATTCTTGGACGCGGATAGATCATATGAGTGCTTTAAGAACCCATGGGCATACCTTTTCTAAAGGTATAATGACAAAATTAAACCCCAATATTGTTTATACAAATGGTCATTTTACCTCTATATATTTTTTTAAACATTTTAGCCCTTAATGTTTCAATTTATAGTAAAATCTTCCTTGATCAGTGACGAATCCAAAAAAAATTTTGACTCGGCCAATATAAGTATAATAAAAAATTTATCTAATATTACTAATATATATAATATTTCAATAAAAAAAATTTAATAACATTTGTAAGTGAAAGAAATATTGAATAATTTTGATTGAGTAAAATAATATATGAGAAATACCTTTTAAATTTTTTATTAAAATCTTGTAGGTGATGTTGAAAAATTGCTAAGCAAACCGCTAATAACATCGTAAGCTCATAAGTAATTAATGGACAAAATAAAAATAAAATATAAAAATTCAGAAAAATATTGAAAATTTTACAAAATAAAATTGAAAAACTTAAATTTTCAATTAAAATATTCAATTACCTTCTAGCTTTAAAAAGAATTCTTTGAATTTGAAAAGCACGGAATGAATATAAATAAATAAATAAAAGAGAGCATTACATTACATAAATTATAAGAAGGTAGCTCTTAGTTTAAGATTTTGAAGAGATAAAATTATAATTAAATTTGAAATTAAATAATACTCTAATGGGGTGTTTGGATGGGGGAATGTGGGATTCCAATGGGAATAGAATCCACATTCCCCGTTTGGTTAGGCCGGAAATCCCATTCCCGGTGATGAAAGATTACCAATAGTGGATTTTTTGGGGTATATTACCGGGAATGTCATTACCTCTATTTCCTTAGGTATTGTTGGATTACCGGCGTTTCGGACTAAAATGCCCTTAAATTTTTATTTTTTTTAAAAAAATATTCTTCTTCTGTCATTGAATGATAAAAATTCTACTAAGGTTAAATTACAAATTTATCCTTAAATTATTTTAGATTAAAAAAAAAGTCTATAATTAAAATTTTATATAAAGTTCGGGGATTAAAATAAAATTTTACCATTTGTTGAGTTAATCGATCGACGGAATCGTCCAAGAGGAGGGTGAATTGGCAATTAAAAATTTCGGTGGAAGCTTTTGCAGAAAATTGAAAAGATTTGCACAGTGATTTAGAGTGGTTCGACTTTCTCAATCAAAGTCTACGTCCATTACCTTAGCTATCCACACTAAGGATTTTCCACAAATTCACTAATTTGTCTTTCTTTTGAGGACAAAGAGTAACCTTACAAACCCTCAAGAATTATACCCCAAATTATTGAGAAAAACTCTCTCCCAAAGAGAACAATACAAATTTGCAAACTTACAAGGAAATCCTCACAAGGTAGATTGTTTGCACAATTCTAGAACAAAGAACACTCAAGAATAAATACAATTGAGCACAAAAGTGTTCTTGAAAGCAAAATGAATATTGAATGAAAAATAAGTTTGAAATGCTCAAACTTGAGGTTTGATGCTTTCTCTTTGATTCTCTCTTGATTCTAGTTGCTTGATGTTTCTTGTTATTGATCAATGGCATCTAAACTTGTTTAAATACTCCTTGAATCAATTCTGAACATTGGTGATAATTAGTAGAGTCAATAGAGCCGTTATTGTGTGAAAACAATTAATTTTCTGGGTGGGAGCGTCTTATGTATCGATGCATGACCATTATGCATCGGCGCATCAGTGTAAAATTTCAAATATTTTGACCGTTGGATTCCTAGTGCATCGGTGCACTAAGAGTGCATCGATGCATGAAGTGCATTCGATGTTTGAAAAATAGCCTGGTGCATCGATGCATGGATTGTGCATCGATGCATCAAATGCATTCGATGTTTTAATTAAATCAGAGTGCGTCGATGCATGGAGAGTGCATCGGTGCATGGAATGCATTCGATGTTTCAATTTATTCATTGATGCATCGATGCATGGTATTTATGCATCGGTGCATGCCTTTGAAAAATTGATTTAAGGCTTGATTTTGGTTTAAAATACTTTGTGAAAATTGTTTCAAAAATAGTTTAAGTACAAATCACAATTTTACACATTTAGTAAGGATTAAAATTGATCTTCAAAGACTTGGAGTAATAATTTGATATTCGATAAATTGAATCGAATATAAATTGTAAAATCATTTGTAAAAATCTTAAAATACATTTAACTTAATTTGTTATATCGAAATATCAAAAATGTTTTTAACACCCTTTCATTAAACTTTTTTTATATTTTTAATTTTGTAAAAAAATATATAAATATTATGAATTTAAATTTTTTAAAGAAAATATATAAATATTTTTCAACTTGTAATATTATACAAATATATAATAAAGACAATTTAGTCAAATGTACATTCCAATAATCTTTTATTCCTTTAACCAAACACGGTAATCTTACATTCCTGCTAAACCAAACAAACACAAAATACAACATTCTTAGTAATCTTATTCCCTAGTAATCTTTCAAACCCTAATTAGTTTAATTTTGACATTAGAAATATAACTAAAAATTAATAAAATCATATAATTATATTTTTCTCTTTATAATGAGGGCATGGTCAAGGTAGACTCAAGCCTCCCTCTGCCCCTGCCCTGAATGAAAGAAAATCGTTAATTAATTAATTATTAATATTTTATATGGACGTGATAAGTATATGTGTGATGTCATTTTAATAAAAAATTGTTTTTAGAATAAATTATAATTATAATTAATTACATAGACACTTAACAAAATATATTTAAAAATAATTTAAAAATATTTTTATGATGTGACATCATTATGAACCTGTCACTTCAGTCAACTAACGATTTTCATCCATCTAAGAGATATTTTAATTTTAAATAAAATATTAAAAAACTAAAATACTTCAAAAAAAAATAGATAATCATTATATATATATATATATATATAAACCAGGGGCGGCAGGAGCCATGCCACCTTGGTTTGCTAAAACAGCTCTTTCACCCCCCCCCCATATAAAAAAAGTTCAGTAAATAAAATGGTAAATTCGTGTTGTCTCTCACCAATTTGGAAAAGTTTTTTTTTAGTCCCATTATGAGTAGTTTATTAGTTATTATTTTATCTTTAATTACTCTTTGTTGATTAGTTTATGTAGCTGATTTAAGTGTTTTCATTTGTTTTCCGTGCATGACATTAACTTCCAGAAATAACTTTAAAAAGACCAAACTTTCTCTTCTCCGTCGTCGGTGAGCGACGACCGACGCCAATCAACGACGGTCGACGTGACAGAGTCAGGCCGAGAACTAGGTTTTACCCTGAATGATGGAGAACAAGATGAACTTTTCATTGGAAAATTCAAACCCCATTTGATTCAAAAAAGTTTATGGTAATTAATTATAAAATAATAATAACAAATGCTATGTCATACATAAATAATAATAATAATAAAATAAGTTATGATGATTAAAATAAGAACATTTCTTTTCCGGCGTTCGATCAGTAGTTGTTCCATCTTCCTCCGCATCTCTTCTTCCTGGCGATAAGCATAATATATATTAGCATTAGAAGCTACAAAGAAATCAATAAAGGCAAAGGGCTTATATTTGGTTGGTACTTGCAAGACATAATTACCTTCTCCAACTTGCTCTTCTGAGAAATGGACCTACTAACAGGAAATGGTTTCTTTCTCTTGGACACATTTTCACCTTCGGCTGCCTTTTTTTGTTCCCTGGGAGATCACTCAAAATGATTATGAATCTCCACAAGACGAGGCGTCATTGTTGCAACAAGAAAAGGAGGCTTTGTCGAAGACAAGGAAAAAGGATCAACAAGCTCATACTCTCATCCACCAATGTCTGGATAATTCGACAAAGGAAGCATGAGAGATTTTACAAAATTCTCTCCAGGGAGTTGATAAAGTGAAGAAGGTTCGACTCCAAGTGTTGCGAGGTGAGTTTGAAACCTTGCGAATGAAGGAATCCGAGTCAATTTCGGATTATTAATCAAGGGTGATGATTATTGTCAATCATATGAAAAGATACGGAGAAACTTTAGAAGATGTTCGCGTGATTGAAAAGATTCTTCGTTCTTTGACTCCAAAGTTTGATTATGTGGTTTGTGTTATTGAATCAAATGATCTAGACTCTATGGCTATTGAATAAGTTATGGGTGAGTTGTAAGCCCAGGAAGACATATTCAATAGGAGACAAGATGAGTCTATTGAAAAAGCCCTCAAAGCCAAGGTGTCTTTGAAAAATAACCAAGAAGAAAAGAATCGAAAGAGTCGAGGACATGGACGAGGTCGAAATTTTGGCCAACAAGGATATGGAAGAAGTGATCGTGAAGATCATACAAGCAATGATGTAAGTTCATCATCAAGAAATCAAGGAAGATCAAGAGGAAGATTTAATAATCAAAGATCGAATGAAATGAGGTATGTCAAATCCAATATTAAATGTTATAATTGTCATAAATTTGGTCATTTTTCTTGGGAATGCCAAAATGAAAGCAGAAATGAAGAGAGGGTTAATCTCATTGAAGATCAACAAGATGTTGAAGAGCCAACTTTGTTACTAACACTCAAGAAAAAAGAGAACAATGATGCAAGCACTTGGTACCTTGGCAATGGAGCAAGCAATCACATGTATGGAGACGAAGTGGCATTTGTGGAACTTGATGAGAAATTTAAAGGTGATGTTTCATTTGAAGATCCAAATTCAAGGGAAAGATAATTCTCTCTAAAACAAGTTTGATTTCAGTACTTTTCAGAAATATGAGAATTAGGATTAATTGAGGTTAATAATGAGGTTTTAGTTGTTGATGTTAGTTGTTTTTTATCAGCACTTGTTGGGGAGAAGTAACGTCATTTGGATCGGAAGCTTGGAGAGTCGTTCCGGTAAAGTTTTCAGTAATTTCAGTCTTTTTGTTCTGTTTTGAAAACAGAAATTTTGGATGTGTTCTTGATGTGTTATTTTGCTTTCCAAGATGTTTGATTATTGAGAAAAATTGGTGCATCTTACTTTAGTGGTTTACTAAGTGTTTGAAAGCTATTTCGAATAGTGGATAGTAAAGGTGAGCGACTATCATTCTTTTTGGATGAACATATTCAAAGGTTAAAGGTGCAGTTTAGGATGTCCACTTATCTTGAACTCTAGTATAGATTATTTTTTATCATCCAAGGTGTTTGATGTGTTGATTTTTGTTCAAGTACGTGGTTATTACTCCCAATAACATCGATTTCGGGATTCGAATATATATTTATTCTACCGTTACTTCAAAAATAACACATAATTATTTGATGAATGTATGATCACCGTTGTCATTCGGATCTCATGATCGACATGTAAGCCAGCATATAACCTTGAATCTGTTCAAAAAAATCACATCTCAATGTAGATGGTTGGCTTCAGAGGAAATTGCAGAAGCTCAATTACTTGGCCATGAATGAAATACAAAGAAAAGAGAATGTACTAAGTATGGTGCTTGACCTCATAATTATTCGACAAGTACACTCTCAAGAATAACATTTACGATTCGTGGTTTCGTTCTATTAGATTCAACTCTAATCTCTCTAATCTGAGACAAATCTTTAACTGTTTTCAAAAGAGAAACCAAAATGCACCCAATTGCAACAATCTTAAACAAACCACAATCTAGCCTTACATTCGCCGGTAATTATTTTGAGAGTCTCTTTGTTGAATTCGGCCTCCGCTTGAATGGGAGGCCCTTTGAACATCAGAGTAACTTAGGTGGCGTTTGGTTCGCAGGAATCCTTTAGAATTAGGGGGAATTGGAATCTAATTTCACTATTTTCCCATGTTTAGTTCAAGTTTTCAAAGGGAATTGGAATCCCTCATGACTTCAACTTTCCATCAAATGAGGGAGAGTGAATTCCATCCATTCTATGATGGAATTCAATTACCTTGTTACTTCCCAGTTACTTCCTTGTATTTTCCAGTAATACGTCCTTTCTTAATATTGTTTGCATTTTTCAATAAAATATAATTGTCAAAATATGTGACCGGTCCAATACTTTTTCCTTCCATTAATATTGTTTGCAAGGACTTAATTGACAAATAAGTATTCAAACTATATATATATATATATATATATATATATTTAGTTTAGGATGATAGATATGTATAATTTCGTAGATTTTGCACCGTATCTAATTTAATTAGAGCAATATGAGTATAAGTTTAGTAGGTAGTGGGCGAGTGTGAATGTAAAAAAGTCATATCTATTGTGGGTAGTAGGTATGGGATGGGTTGAGACCTTAGTCGCCTTGCCCACTAACTACCCACCATATAAATTTTGGACTATTATGAATTTAGGTATAATTTTAAAGATTATTTTATAAATCTTAATATTCTATAACACATGACTTATAATTTAACTAAGTGTTAGGGTATAAACTTTTTAGAATTTGATCTACGTTTGAATCTAAAACTTTTAGAGATAATAACATTGTCCTATATGTAGTTGGGTAAAGCATTGTTGCGTCCTTAAACTTGGAAACGTTTCTCAATTAGATGGTCCTAAACTTGAATTTTTTAAGTTTTTATTTATTATGGGCTCTATGAGATTATGCCATGTTATTACATAAAAAATTTTGAACTAATAAAAATTAGCTGACCCTAATCTCATATATAATGGGTAAGGGGAAGGTAGGATAGTAGACTGTCCCCAACGCCAGGTTGAGAGAAACTTCCGTGGGAGACCTCCGACAGTCAGAATTATGAATTACCCACCGTGGGACTCGATCTCACGACCACAAGGTTAAGAGCCTTATACAAGATTAAGTTTGTTTCATTAACTCAATGGTGAAAATAATAAATAAGCATTCATGATTAAGTAGCACATTAGTAAAGTTATATTAACTTTATTAGAATAGGATTTTGGTGAAAGAAAAGAATTTGATATATAACCCTGACCTGTAATATGTATTTATAGGGATAGATACTTGATTACAAAGGAAACTAAATAAAATAAAAATCTACTTTAATAAAGTTTTTTAATTTTAACCAAACTGGATTCCCTATTTCTCAATACTTATATATTAATTAATTTATATCACTTTGAATTCGAGTCAAACTCTAACGTAACACAATACAAAACTGCTGCTGTTGTGGTTGATAGTTACTTGGAATTTATAAATATGCAGAATCAATGATTTCTACCTAAACCGCTGAATTTCTTCCCAGATGTTTCCTTGTATCTGCTAGCATTTTTTTAATAAAATATGAAGGCCAAAAATATGTGACCGGTCCAATACTTTTTGCTTGCATTATTATTCGAAATTTCTTTAAAATTCATAAAATTAAATATAAAATAAAATTATCATTATAAGGATTAAAGATTTTTCTTGAATTTGAGGAGTTTAAGATATTTACTCGAAAATCTTGAAAGGTGCTTGAATTTATAAATATATGAAGGTGCTTGAATTTGAAGAGTAAAGAAAAATTATGAACCTATACTATTTTGCTCCAATTTTTTTTTTATTTTGGCAAGATTAATTTTATTAATGAAAAATCAAGCAAGCCTAACATGAGTTGTATGCCTCATTAAAAATCTATCCAAACTTAAATAGAGGAAAATATTACATACGACTAGAGAAAAAGACCATAAACACCATATCACCAATGCTGCAAGACCTAATAGAGAGCAAACCACGACTCTTCACACCAACAAACAGCTTAAGCCATAAACACCATATCACCAATGCAAAGCAAAGCACAAAAAACAACCCAAGACGCCTTATCAACAACATACATATACAAATACAAGGATTTGATCAGTCACATGAAGAGTTTCACTACCATGCTTTGAACACTTCCCATCCCTTCATGCATGCTTTCGTAAAATTGTTAGCCATTCCGTTTTGAGAGCGAGGCACGTAACAAAAATTGACTCCCCCAATGTCACCAGATAACCTGTCAATCTCATTAAAATCTTTTCACCAGGACCAAGGTCAAAGCGATGAATCACCCAACCAATGACTTGCAACTTTAGGGTTAGTTTCAACAATTAAAGCTACATTAACCAACAACCAATTGGTGTAGTGCATAATTTACCCTTGTGATAAGCACATTAGAATTGGAAGAAGCTACAAAGAAATTAATAAAGGGGAAAGGGTTTATATTTGGAAGACATAATTACCTTCACCAACCTGCTCTTATGAGTAATGGACCTATTAACTGTTGGATATTTATAATTTTAAGAGGTGTGATTATTCATATAGGTGTGTTGATTCATATGATTAGGTATAATTATTCATATGAAAAAAGATGTGACTATTCATTATGAATTGATGTGATTATGTAGGATGAAAGGGTGTAATGACTAGTTGTAACTATTCTAATGGTTACTTACAATTCCTATATAAAGGATTGTAAGTGATGAAGCAAAGCAATGGTATTCCAATTCAATTCCAAAGTTTCTTCTAATATTTTCTTCTTTCTCTCTACAAGTTTAAGTTTCATACTTTCATATCCCAACAAGTGATATTCAGAGCTTGATTCGATATAAGTGAAGATGGCCAACAATGATATGTTTCCATTTCAATTTCCATGTCTTACAAAAGACAATTATGAAAGTTAGTGTCTCCGTATGAAGGCTTTACATGGGGCACAAGATGCTTGGGAGATCACTCACAATGATTATGAATCTCCACAAGACGATGCGTCATTGTCACAACAAGAAAAGGAGGCTTTGACGAAGACAAGGAAAAATGATCAACAAGCTCATACTCTCATCCACCAATGTCCGGATGATTCGATGTTTGTAAAAGTGGTAAATGCCAACACCGTAAAGGAAGCATGGGAGATTTTACAAAATTCTCTCCAGGGAGTTGATAAAGTGAAGAAGGTTCGATTGCAAGTGTTGCGAGGTGAGTTTGAAATATTGTGAATGAAAGAATCTGAGTCAATTTCGGATTATTAGGCGATGATTATTGTCAATTAAATGAAAAGATACGAATAAACTTTAGAAGATGTTCGTGTGATTGAAAAGATTCTTCGTTCTTTGACTCCAAAGTTTGATTATATGGTTTGTGTTATTGAATCAAATGATTTATACTCTATGGCTATTGAACATGTTATGAGTTAGTTGCAAGCCCAGGAAGACATATTCAATAGGAGACAAGATGAGTCCATTGAACAAGCCCTCAAAGCCAATGTGTCTTTGAAAAAAAAACCGAAAAGAAAAGAATCGAAAGAGTCGAGGACGTGGACAAGGTCGAAATTTTGGCCAACAAGGAAAAGGAAGAAGTGATCGTGAAGATCATACAAGCAATGATGTAAGTTCATGTAAGCACCATTTTATTTTTTATTCACCATAACCTACCACTACCACAACCACCCACCAAGCACCACCCATGTTTCCCTCCTCCACTACAATTCCAACTTACTATTTCCTCATTATTATTAGCTGTCAATGATTTCAATGATTTCAATTGGCGCTAAAATTTCACCACTGGGACACACCATTGAATTCTCCATGCTGGTTTCTTCCTTATCTTCCACCGAAGTATTGGACAGGGGTTTTTTTTCTAATGCTAGTGTAAGCATCATCTTATTATTCAAATACCCCACCATCCCGTGTTTTCTGCAGGAATAGAAGCATAATCACCCATTAATTTTTAATATTTTATGTTAAAATTAAGTAAAAGTTTGGCTATAAAAGTCGAACAAAATGTATGAAGAAGGGGGGTTTTGCTCGGTTTCTAGCAGAA